CTCCCGTGATCTTCGGTGGGTGGCAAGTGGAAGACAGAAGTAGTTGCCCCTGTAGTCCTGAACGTTCATCCTGGGAGACCCCATCACTTCTCACGGAGACCCTGTCTTTTCTCCCCAGGACTCCAGACCTCACTTCATTACCCACAAGTCCATCCTGGCTTCCAAGGTGCTGCTCACTCAGAGGTCAGGGTAAGACTTGCTTGTGGGGTAACATTTGTCACCAATGCTGACTCTGTAACGGTAAGAGCCTTTAATTGTCCAGATGGCAGAGAAAATGTCAAAAATAAATCTAGGCCAGGAGTCAACCTGTGTCTTCAGCCTCTCAGGCCAGGGATCTAAGATCTCAACCCTGGGGAAGAGGAGGGGGGGACTGAAGGCAATAAAGGGACAAAAAACATAGGTTTAGGATGATGTGGTTCAGCATGGAAGGTTGAGAAGGAAGGGGACAGACCAAGAGTGAGGATGGCACCTGGAGACTTCTGGCCTTGACTGTATCTGAAAGGGAAGGAAGGGAGGGAAGGAGGGAGGGAGGGAGGGAGGGAGGGAGGGAGGGAGGGAGGGAGGGAGGGAGGGAGGAAGGAAGGAAGGAAGGAAGGAAGGAAGGAAGGAAGGAAGGAAGGAAGGAAGGGAGTCAGAAGCACCTTTCCCAACTCAGTCCCAGGAATGTGTGTGCTTGGAGGGGAGGAAGGAGTATGTTCTAGGACCTTTTCTATGTCCAGACCCAACCTAGTTTAAAAACCCTGAACTGAGCCTAAACTAAACACTGGAATAGCAGCACGGATGGCAGTCACCCAGGTGACTGGGACACGGCTTCATGGGACAGTGGTGTTGGCAATCTAGCCTCACCTTCTCCCTCTTCCCCCATGAGTCATCTAAGCGAGGATAAGCCCTGGAGCCTGAGTTCTTCTCCTCTATCCCCAGGATAACTGGGACCAGCTTGAGTAGAGAGGATTGGAGAAGTTTAGGGGCCCCGGTATGGAGAAGGAAGGGGTGGGAGTAAGGGAGGAATAACTCCACCTGAGCTGGTCTCCAAATTCCACCCCAAAACTGGTATATCTCTGCCACAGAGCCTCTGTCTGTCCCTCCAACTCCATCCCTGGTCCTGACCTCATTATTCCCCTCCCGCTCCATCTCTATCCACCAGCGCCAGGCGTCTTCAAACTACGGCCCGCGGGCCACATGCGGCCCGCAGAGGAATCTGATCCGGCCCGCCAGGTTTTTTGGGCAGTGAGCGCAGCCGAGGTGTTACAGTAGGAATTAGTAGTTCATATAGTCCGGCCCTCCAGCTCTCTGAGGGACCGTGATGTGGCCCCCACTTTAAAAAGTTTGAGGACCCTTGCCAGCCCAACCCTCCTCTCAAACCCTCATTATCTGCAGCTGAATCCCAGAGCTCCCATCATCCCTCCCAGCCCTGATCCCTCCCAGTCTCTACAGGCCCTCCTCACTGCTCTCTGAGAAGCTATTCCTACCCAGCCTCCCAGACCCCTTCTCATCCAGCCCAGCCCATCATTCTCCCTCCTCAGGAGCTGTGCACCGAGCAGAGAGGCGAGGCTTGATTTCCATTCACATTTCCTTACTCTAAGTGGACTTACATAGCTGTTCCCCATTTTAGAAAGAATCTAGTCTCTCAGGGGGCTGAGAGAATAACTAAAATCTACCCTAGAAGGTAATCAGCCTGTGTCCCCAGCCTATTTCCCTCCGTCCTGTCTGCGCGCTTAGAATAGTCCTATGTGACAGGACTTGTGCTTTTGAGCAAAACAACAGGGAACCTCCAAGTCCATCAGAATGTGTAAGCCTGCCTGCTCCTAACGCACACACCCAGAAACAGAGATATACATGCACACACAATCCTATAAACATTTATGTACATAATGTATTTACCTGCACATCTTAGAATAGAATGTAAGCTCCATGAGAGCGGGGACAATGTGTTTTTCAGTGATGTATCTCCAGCCCTATACAACAGTGCTGGCACATGAGAAATATTTGCTGAAAGAATGGCACATAATGGAACATGTACATGCAATAAATGTACACACACAGCTATATACTAGTACACTTAAAACAATACATCCATACACATATATAATGCTTATGTACACACAGACATATGTGCACCTATGTTTATCCACATATTCATGCCTTTAGATAACTCACACATGTAACATATATATGTACATTCATGTACATGCATTCATGTATATATAGTGCATATAGATACACATACACATTACTACTATGAACATGACATACTGGTATATTACATATAGATATCACACAGATACCACATATATATTACACACACACACACACACACACACACACACACACACACATATACCTTCACATACATAAATGAATACAAATCAAAACACCTTTTTACCCCAAATTTTCCAGCCTATTTAAGACATCTAGCCCATATCTGGCTGCCATAACCCCAAATATCCACCAGGTAGCACTCTTTCGCCACTTCCTGTACTTCCAAGTGTTGCCAGAGGCGTCGCCAGAGATGTCGACTCTTCGATCTGAGGCACAAAACTTTTGTACCCCACAAGCTTTCCCCTCCCTGCCCTCCCCAACAGCGTGCTGGGCGTGTCCTTGGACCCCAAAGTCTGCAATCTCGGCCCTGCCCAATGCCCAGTTCATACTCTTGGGCTCCAGGCTTCTGCAGAAGCTGCGGACTCCCCCCTCGGGGCTCCAAATTCTTCTCCACCTGAGCTCACATCCACCCGCCTGCCCCAGCCAGCCAGAGAGTGGGCTCCACCAGGACTCCGCAGGTTCAAACTAGGCTCAATGGCCCTTCCTCCCCGGACCGCTGAGCTATTAATGAGCAGCCAGACTCAGGGACCCGTCCCCACAATGCCCGGGGACGGAATGGGGTCATTTGCACACACGTGACACCCATACACCTGTACCCACCCGGAACGCCCAGTCTGGGCCAGCCAGAAGCTGGGAGGAGAATGGCCAGGCCCTAGCACCTGGGACCCTCGGCTGGGAGGGAGCTGGTCCTGACGAACCCTTCCTGCCCCGTCGGGTCTTGACCCCCCATCTCTGGTTCGGAGGCCGAAGGAAGCGCATTCGCTCATCTTAAGCAAAAACGACTTAAAATCCCGGCGGAGGGCGGAGAGGCGTGGGGCCCAGGCTCCCCGCCCCCCTGCGGGCCTGGACCCCTGGAGTCCGCTTTCCCGGAGCCGCACTGGGAGCCGCACCGCCGGGGTGGGCCACCTGCACGAAAGGGAAACGCGGGGAAGGCTCGGAGACCCGCGGGGAGAAGCCGGGGTTCTGGCGGCAGCCCGGCTCCCCCTCCTCCCCTCCCCTCTCCTCCCCTCCCCTCCCTCGGGAGCGGCGGGAAATTATTTATTAAAACGCCGCCCGCGCTCTCATTTATTTGCGGCGAATAATCCTCGGCATCGCAGCGCGTTTATTAAACCTTTCCCGTCCCCGCATTACTTTAATAATAAATCGCGTGTCACTTTCCGGAGACGTTATTAAAGCCGGGCCCGCCGAGCGGAGGCGGGGAGGGGGGAGCGGGGAGAGGCGCAGCCGGGTCCCTCCGATCCGGGCTGCGGGGCCTCCTCACCAGCACGGCGGCCGCGGAGGGAGAGGCTGGGGCTGTGGGGGGCTGACCCCAAACTTGCTGCAAGAGCGATTGAGGGGTACGTGTTCCTGGGGGTTCCTGTGACCCGGGGGGGGGGGGGGGGGGCTCTGCTCTGCAGGTGGGCGCAGATAGGCTGGATGGGCCCTCCAGGGGGCGCCTTCGAGCCCTGCTAGGCCGGCTCACCAAGCACAAGCCAGTGGCAGGCCTCAGTGCGTGGCCCCTCTTTCTTTTCTTTTTTAAAATATACTTTATTGATTTTTTACAGGGAGGGAGAGAGAGGGATAGAGAGTTAGAAACATAAATGAGAGAGAAACATCCATCAGCTGCCTCTTGCACACCCCATCAGGGATGTGCCCGCAACCAAGGTACATGCCCTTGACTTGACGGGAATCGAACCTGGGACCCTTCAGTCGCAGTCCCATGCTCTATCCATTGAGCCAAAACGGTTTCGGGCGGCCCCTTTTTCAGCGCGGAGCAGACCTCCTCCAGGTCTGGACACGGAACGGCGTGACCCCCTGCACCCCCATCATGCGGCTCACACCCCCTCCTGCTTCGGCGGTCGCCTCGGAATTCGCCCCAGGATGTTGCTGGGCGCAGCTCTGCAGCCGGGGCTCCCGGCCAGGCCACAGAGCCGTCCTGCGGTTTAACTCCGGGAGCAGCCTCGCTGTGCACTGAGAGGGGCGGCCAACCCCGGGATTGGGGTTCCGGACCACGCCCTCTCAAGAGGCCGGGCCCCAGAGGACAAGCTCAGACACCGGACTGCCTGCCATCCTTCCCGCGGTGGCGCCAGGCCCCGGGCGGAGCCCAGGCGCGCGGGCGGCCGTCGCCATCCCATGTGGCTCCCTCCGGAACTTAAGCTTTCATCTTCAATTAGTCAATAAACACTGCGCCCGCCGGGGTCCCTCGCCTCGGTGGAGAGTGTAAAGAGGTTTGGGGAGGGAGAGAGCCTGGTTCCGGGACCGACCCTGGGCCAGGCACGTCACACTTGGGGCAGATGAGGCAGTCAGCTTCCCAGGACGCTGTGTTCAGTAAGGAGGGGGTGGGTTCCTAGGGGAATCCTAGGGTGTGGCCCATGCCAAACTGCTTCACCACCCAGGTTTTGCTTTCATACTGGGTGCCACTCACATAGACCTGCTTCCCCACTCTGCCTGGGGGGACCAGGGAGAGACAAACAGGGACAGGCAGTCTCTCTCTAGCCCAGCCCCAGAGGAGTTCCGACTGGGAGAATGCCCTCCTCCAACCAGATGGCTCTGGCCTTCCCCCTCCCCGAGGCCAGGGTAGGCCCCACTCAAGCATCCTCTCTGTCCATCTGGCAGGCATGTGCTTAGAGAGCAGGACCTACAGCTTCTGGAAGCCAGAGTCTTACTACCATGAAATTCACTGCATACACCATCTGTGTGTCTCAGCTCGTTCATAAATCTTTATTGTGTGCTTACTGTGCCCAGTCCTGTGCTAGGCATGGTCCAACATAAAGTGGTATAAGCGAGGGAGTTTCCAGAAGGACAGGAGAAATCAGACATGACCAGATGCCCGTCTTACTGCACTAAACTAAACCATGCTCCGGTGTGCTCTCCCAGACAGCGGATGGTGAACAGCGAAAAGGACCGCGGTCAGTGAGTGCAATGGGATTTAGGAGAGAGGGAAATGTCTAGGTTAGTTTTAAGAAAGAGCAAACTGAGGCAAGGCAAGGCAAGGATCAGGGACTAGAAAACAACAGAAGGAGCCGTGCAGAAGGGCGGTGAGGAAGACTGGCTGAGCAGGGTTGAAGGAAGGGCTGCTGGAAAGCCAGGGAGGAACCTGCTGTCTACACCGTTCTGTGACTGCTCCCCCCCCCGCCCCCCATGCCACCCTCCACCCAGCCGGGGGACCAGCAGGCCCTGTACCTCCTGCACGGGCTCCTTCGCATCCCGTCTCCCCTATTCCCTGGTCTCTGCCTCTCCTTACCCTTCTCCAGTCTCTGTCTCCTCTCCACCACTCTCATGTCTCCCCTGCAATACGTGAGGGGCCCTGCTCTCCCTTTCCAGATCTTTTCAAGAGCAGGGATGAACACTATCCCCCCCCCCCCTTCCCCAGGGGCCAGGGCTTCGGTCCTAGTAGTAATCCTCGCCCTCTTCACTCTCAGCCTCTTCCTCGGGGGCCAGGTGCTGGGCGGGCAGCTGGGGGAAGCCTGTGGAGTTCAGCTGGTCTACAAACACGTGTGGGCAAAGGAGAGAGAACAGGAGAGAGAGGCTGTCAGTGTCCGCGTGTCCCAGTCTGTGAGAAAGCCATGCTCGCATGTGTCCTCACATGCACATACACCCGTGGATACGCACACTCACAGGCCGGAATCCACCACCACCCCCTCCTGCCTCTGGAACCCAGGGCTCCTCCCCCTTACCAGGTGTGAGCACCGTCAGGCTGGCTGGGGCCTCCACCTGGCCCAGCGCATTGCGGGCCAGGCAGCGGTAGGTGCCCTCGTCGCTGGGACGAACAGCCTGAATCTGCAGCCAGCTCGTCACCTCAAACCTCTGGGGTCCACCCCTAAACTGGAACCAGAGGAGGAGTCAGCAGGGTCCTTCTAGGGGGGCGCTGGGCTGCCCCGGGGGAAGCTCTGCTCCCTAGCCCCTACCTGCACTGAGATGTGGGGGTCATCTCCCGGCAGCTGAATGCCCAGGCCATCCTTCCTCCACTCGATGGCGGCCATGGGGTAGGCAAACACCTCACAGCCAAAGATCACATCCTGCCCTGTCACGTTCCAAATGTCGTAGGGATGCAGCATGATCTGGGGCTCTGGGGAGGGAGGTGGGAGGCCTGAGAACAGGATGGCACGTCCCTCCATGCAAGGACCCCATACATACAAGCCATCGTGAACATGTTTGTGGGGGGGACACAGTGTATGCAAGGGTAAATACACCTCCAAGAACACAACATGACACACACACTAATGTGGCTGCAGGGACACAAAGAGTGCAAACACGGAGACGTACCTGCAAACAAGATGCACAAACAAGCACGCGCATGCGCACGCGCACGCACACATGCAAACCTCAGCTTAGCAGCCACCCTCTGTCCCTGGTTGCTCCCCTGTCCTCATTCCACCCTCCAGGCCCCCATCCCAGCATTTGTAACCAACACTTCCCTCTCCGCCCTCCCCTTTTTCTATCCAGGTCTGCTTGCCAGAGGCCCAACAAGCAGCCCCTCCCCCACCTCCTCTGGGGGAGTGGGAGAGGCAGCCCAAACCGAGAACCTAAAACCATCCCAGGCAGCACAGAAAGCCTGGCGGTGGAGAAAGTGGGACCCCCGCGGGGTGTTTGTTTTCCTGGCAGCTTCAGCCCAGTCAGACCCATCAAAGGGGCTCCGGAAGTGAGTGTTACTGAAGCCGCCAAATAAAACTCGAGACTCAAATAGCCCTGAGCTCCCTAGAATGGAGGGGGGTGAGGAGGGGGGACAGAAGTGTCCCCTCCTCCACTAATCCCTCAGCACAGAGGGGTGTTGGAATGGGGAGGTGGGGGGGGGGGGTGGATAACAGCTTGCTATCCTAGGGCAAATGAAACCTGATTTCATCGCAGGAACCCAAGCCTTCCTGCCCGGGGAAAGTCTGGGAGCCTCCACTTTCTGTGTTGAAGCCAATCGTAGGCTGTGTGTCTGCTCCCCAGAGAGCTGCTCCCTGCAGGTGGGCCTGGAACCTTCAGGCGGGTGGGCCTCAGCGGACCCGCAGCGAGAAGGGGCTGTTACCGGACTCCAGGCCTCGGCTTTTTCACTCCGCAGGCCAAGAACACATGCCGTTGGGGGGGGGGGGGGGAGACAGGGAGGAGTGAGTAGGAGGCCCGTACCCGATTCGCAGGGCCCCGGATGCGCCACCGTGAGGTTGGCGTCGGGCCGGGCCAGGGCCGCCTCCTGCAGGCGGCAGAGCTGGGGGTAGGTACGGCCGTCGGAGCCGCAGAGCGGGTGCTGCGAGCGGCACACGCACAGCGGCTCGGGCACCTCCCCGCGGCTCAGGTCGCCGCCCGCGTCCAGCCGGCACTCGAGCTGCTCGCCGCAGCGCCCGTAGAAGTGGGCGCCGGGGTCCAGGTCGCAGAGCTGGCCCTCGAGGTTGGCGCACTCCCAGCAGCAGCCGCAGGCGTCCAGCACGCGGCCGGCCAGGCAGCCCCGCGGCGCCGCGCACTCCTCCGGCCGGCAGGGCGCGCAGCCCTCGCCCTCCGCCAGCAGCCGCAGCCAGCCGCGCCGCAGGTACTCCGGGCCCGGCGCCGGCCTCGCACCGCCCGGGAGCGGCGTCCGCGCCGCCAGCAGCAGCAGCAGCAGGGGCAGCGCCCAGGTGGCGGCGAGCGGCTGTGGCATGGTCAGCTGGCAGCCCCGCGAGCGCCGGGGGCATCCGCGGGCTCGTGCACCCTGCCAGGGAGGGAAGCCGGGTCAGGGGGTCAGATGCAACCTCACCGCTCCTCGTACCCAAGTTTTGACTCTAGCACTGTCCCCTCCACTGCTACCCTGGAGTCTGGGAGACCCTCCCTCCGCGCCGAGGCACAAGGGTCATCCCGTTATAGTGGGTAGTCATGGATCGGGCCGTTCTTGGGGGGATGAGGGAGGAGAGAGGATGGAGTGAGAAAGCTCAGGCGTGCATGTAAACACATGCATGTGTACACACACACACACACACACCACACCAGCACCACCAATACACACCATCCAGCTCGGAAGCTGCCTGCCCTAGAATTGGATGGGAGTGGATGGCCCCATATGAAGTGAGGAGTTATTAGTAAGGGGGAAGGAGAGGAAGGGGGATGTCGTGCGGCCCAGAGCGCTCACCTAGTGTCCCGGACTAAGTCCTTCAGAGCAGCTGTGACTCTGAGTCCCCAAGAGCAGACAGTGGAAGAACCGCGGTGGAGATCCACGGGCTGGGCTCGCCGGCCACCTCTGCTCCGGCTCACGGATCTCCGAGAGCCACGGACTCAGACCGGGAGAGCAGCAGCTCCTCCGCCCCTCTCCCCGCCCCTGGACGTCGCACCCCACCTCCCCACCCCCAGGCTGCCCCCGTTTCTGAAGCTGCCAGTTTCATGCGGCTGCACGGGATCCTCCTGGACCGCTTCCCTCAGCCTGGACCCAAGTCACAGTGAAAACAGAGGAGCCGTAACCAGACACCAGCGCTGGGAGACGGCCAGCGGCCGGGGGTGGGGTGGGAGGTGGGGGTGGGGGGCGGCGTAGGGGTGGCTGCGAAGCTCGCCGTTGGCTGGCCGGCTAGGCCCTGTCCCGTCTGACTTTCCAGTCCATGGGGTGGAGGTTCTGGGGCCATGTCGGGCGCCCCTGGTTAGAGCAGGGCCTCGCAACGTCGTCTCCCCGCGCGACCCCAAAAACAGCTTCCCCGGGGGTGATTGAAGGCTTGTCCGTCCAGCTTCCTCACCAAGGCGCCGACCAGAGGCTGGGCGCTGACATCAGCCTCCCCACATCTGGCCTTCTCCTCCCTCCTCCCTACATCCGGCAGGTGCTTCAGTCGCGGATGAGCCTGGTGATTAGAGGCTCCAGCCCGCTAGCCTAGCGGCCGCAGGAAGAGGTGGGCGGGGCGCCGCCCAGGTCGGGATTACAGATTGCGGTGGCGAAGCCCGCAGGGCCGGAGGCGTACGGTTCCCTACCCGCCACCGGCGCCACCGTGGCAGTGTGGGCGAGGGGCAGGGAGGAGAGCCTTTCTGGAGGCCCGCCCGCCTAACGGGGGTCTGCCAGGCCCCGCCCCACCGGCCCCGGCGCTTACAGAAGCCTGGCTCAAGTTCTGTCTCCCGGGAGGGACACTGAGGTCTGCAGGGGGAGGGATGCATTTAGCCAGGCTCCGCCCAGAGGGACCGGGCCGGGGCGGAGCGACCTGAGCTGGGGCCTCCGGACCAACCCCCAAGTTCAGGGCAGGGCTGCGGCCCCGGGACGGCCCGCCCGGGGGAGCGGCTCCGCACGCGCACTAGCGGCCCCGAGAGTTACGGTCCGGAGCGCGGCCGGAACCCTCCCTCCCGGCCTGAGCTCGTCCGAGCCCCTCCGCTTCGGGGCTCCCCAGCGGCCACAGGCCATCCCGGCCGGAAGGGTCGGACACGGGGTGCGAAGACCGGTACACGGTTACCTGGTCTCTGACTCGGGAGAGGGACGGGAAGCGAACTTCACGTGTGGTCTCCAAAGTGTCGCGAGAGTTCAAACAGGAAGTCTAGAAATTCAAAACAGGAAAAGCCCGCGGAAAAAGGATGGGCGGGGCCAGCTTTGGTTGGTACTTGTGGGTAATTCCTTATTTTTGGCCTTGGGAGCCGCTGAAGTGTGGACCGCGGGCAGAAGTGAACTGTAGAACTGCGGGAACCCCTCTAGGAGATGGTGGGGGGCGGGGGGAGAAAGGGGGAAGAGAGAAAGAGATTGAAATTGCGGAGGCGGCTAACGGAGCCGTTCACTCAAGGAGACGCCTCGGGCCCTGACTTAACACAAAATACTTTGAGACGGAGATCGTTGCCGGGATACCGAACAGAAGCAGTCCGGTCTCTTCATGAATGGTTACCCGCTTCCAAGGCTCGGCGCCAGTATTTAAACAACAAACTTTACAGACCTGGAACCTCTTCTCTTACCGCACTTTATTGTAGCCGGTTGTTTACTTTCAGTCTTCGCTCTGTTCCAAGCGTCTGGTATTAGGAATCGTGTCTAACTCACCCCTGTATCTTGAGAACCTTAGCCCCGCACCTGACAGCCCAGAAAGTTCTTGGTAAATATTTTGCGGATTAAATGTGAACGACTTCCGGAGTGTGAATGTCAAGGTTAACCTGGATTTTGTGTGTCGCTGATGAGGACAGGATAGACAGGGACCGAGCGCCCTCTGGTGGGCTTGCGGTTAGTGACGAGAACATTATCTTGCATACAGCAGACAGCAAAGATGTTGATTGAGTAAATAGGAAATCTGTTTTTCTTAAATAGAGATTTTGTTCCAGGAAAACACCACATATTGTGGAAATACTTTTAGAAGGAAATTATTTGCTTAAGACACAATTCAAAAGTTTAGATACGTTCTCAGATCCTCATTATCTCCCACTATCCATTAAGGCTCCAAAACACATTCAGTAACATCTATTTGCATCATAAAGTTACTAAACATTTTGCATATTCATATTTTGAGAATGTTGAATCAGTTTGACTGGGTCATGCAAAATTGACGGGCCACAAAGGATTTTGTGATCTAGACGATGTAAGTACTGCAAGGAGGGAAGCCAAATGGCAGTATCCTTTGAGTGTCTACATGAGGGAGACTATAATAGATTCAGACTTAAAACTAGAGGGTGAAGTTAAAGTTTGTTGGAGAACAGATGGTCTTGCCTCTCTCCCCGCACCCTTTCCTGTAGATGCTTGTACTGAAAAAGGAGTGAGGTATAGAGTGTAGTTTGCTTTACACTGTGAGTCAACCTGGAGTTCACAAGTTTTCATACCTGAACTTTCAGCTACTGAAATATGACAGATTGAAATGGGTCCTGTAAAAATGAGCAATATAAGATGAAACAAGGCATAAAGAATCAGTGTGTAAGTTGGTAAGAAATTACTTGGGAGGATCCACACGTTCTAACCTGTCATTTCATGAGCCCTGTTTTGATACAGCTGGTGAAAATAGTGGGATTGCAACTTTGAGGAAGAAGCAGAAGTGAAACAAATGGTCTAGATTGACCCATTAGAAATGGATACAGAGCCGGGACCGGTTTGGCTCAGTTGATAGAGCGTCTGCCTGCGGACTGAAAGGTCCTGGGTTCGATTCCGGTCAAGGGCATGTACCTTGGTTGCGGGCATATCCCCAGTAGGGGGTGTGCAAGAGGCAGCTGATCGATGATTCTCATCGATGTTTCTAACTCTCTATCCCTCTCTCTTCCTCTCTGTGAAAAATCAATAAAATATGTATTTAAAAAAAAAAGAAATGGATACAGAGGAATTGTGCTTCCTCTGAACATAAGAATCAGTTAAGTAAAAAAACAAAAAGGCTTAACTAGACAATTAAGACAGAATACCTTGTAGCTACCTACTATGACAAATAGTTGAACTCAGTAAAAGTGAAAAATACTAGTATGTGTAGGAAAATAAGGTTAAGTGAAAAGGAAAAGTATATGGATATTGATCACAACCATGTAAATATTTATCATATATATCATCAATAAGCACCCTAAGAGAATTTGGAATGAGGCATATGGTTGAGAATAATATTCACTGTTATTTTGTAAAATTATTTTTCATAATAAAGTAGATGATGTTCTATAGGTAAATTAGGATGTTGAGATAAATGTAGAAAGTTGGAACAGCCAGGTAGGAAGATAAGCATTATAATTCAGCCATATTAAATGAACACTGGAATACTCAGGAGACTAACTCTCTGGAATACCTAGGCATTAAGCTGAACAAGCTTTAAAACATGCATAAAGAAAAATCAGGTAAAAATTTCCTCAGTTTACTTTTCTTATATCCCAGGAGGCAGCTTCCCCCTTCACCCCCCGTTTCCCATTCACTTTTGAGATGGAAACTTGTAGGTCCATCTGACCTAATTACTTGGCCACATTTTGTATTGATAAACTTAAAAAGGATGTTTATATCATTTAGACTCTTTCTACATTTCATTTTGAACTATTACAAACAAGCAGAAAATTGCAAAAAATTGCTTTATAGCTCAATTAATCATTATAAATGAACATTCATGTGATCATTACCCAGGTCAAGAAACAGAACATTGCTAACACCTCCAAAAGTTCCCATCATGCCTCACTCTTCCCAATTATTAATCCTTTCTCTTTATTAATTCACTTGTAATTCTATAATTTTACCTTCTTTTAACTTTTATATAAATTGAGATACACCTAGGAGTAGAATTACTGCTTCATGTAATATGTGTACATTCAACATTAGTTATTAGGTGGGGGAATGAGTGGAGGGCGTGGGGGATTGGAATGGGGGGTTGAAGACAAATATATGATACCTTAATCAATAAAGAAATTTTTTTAAAAATTATTAGTATATCATAGATACAGAGAACATACAAACAAATGTAGGGGTATAGCCAAAATGCAGAAACAAACAAACACACACACACACACACACAAACACACACATACACAGCTACCAAATGAAATAGGAAAAATATCCAGAAAAGAACTAAATGAGATGGAGTCAAACAAACTGTCAGATACGGAGTTCAAAACAATTGTTATAAGGATGCTCATGAACTTACTAAGAACTTCAACAGCATGAAAAAAGACATAGAAACCAGTCAGAAATGAAGAATATATATAACTGAAACAATGAATAATTTACAGGGAATCAAGAGTAAAATAGAGGATGCTGAGAATCAAAGCAGTGATTTAGGGATTTGGAATATAAGGAAGAAAAAACATCCAATCAGCACAGCAAAAAGAAAAAAAAAAAATCCAAAAAATAAAGATACTGTAAGAAGCCTCTAGGATAACTTCAAGCATACCAACATTTGCACCATGGGGGTACCAGCAGGCGAAGAGAGCAAGAAATTGAAAACCTATTTGAAAAAATAATAACAAAAAACTTTCCTAATCTGGTGAAGGACATAGACATACAAGTCCAAGAATCACAGAGAGTCCCAAACAAGATGAACCCAAAGAGGCCCACACAAGACACATCATAATTAAAATGCAAAAAGTTGAATCTTAAAAGCAGCAAGAGAAAAGCAGTTCGCTATCTACAAGGAAGACCCTATAAAACCGTTAGCTGATTTCTCAACAGAAACTTTGCAGGCCAAGTGGAAGTAGCAATGAATATTCAATGTGATGAAAAGTAAGGACCTAGAACCAAGATTACTCTACCCAGCAAAGCTATTGTTTAGAATTTAAAAATGTATAAGGAGTTTCCTAGACAAGAAATAGATAAAGGAGTTTGTCACCATCAAAGAAGAAATGATGAATAAAATGGCAATAAATACATATCAAGAATTGAATCTAAAAAAACAACAAAATAAATAAGTAGAACAGAAATAGACTTATAGATACAGAGAATGTTTTGATGGTTGCTAGATTGAAGGGGGTTGAGGGAATGAATGAAAAAGGTGAAGGGATTAAGAACCACAAATTGGTTGTTACAGAATAGTCATGTGGATGTAAAGAATAGCATAGGATCCTAGCTGGTTTGGCTAAGTGGATAGAGCGTTGGCCTGCAGACTGGGTTCAATTCCAGTCAAGGGCACATGCAGGGGTTTCAGGCTCAATTCCCAGTGGGGGACATGCAGGAGGCAGCCAATCGAGGATTCTCATCATTAATATTCTATCCCTCTCCCTTCCTTTCTGAAATCGATAAATACATACATATATATATTATTTTTAAAGCTCATACGTATTCTCTTTAAAAAAAAAGAACAACACAGAAGTATATTTTAATAACTACATATGGTGTCAGATATGATATTTCTCAGGATGATCACTTAGTAAGTTTAAGTTATATAATGTCTAATCACTACGATGTACACCTAAAATTAATATATTTTTAAAATATATTTTATTGATTTTTTACAGAGAGAAAGGGAGAGAGGGAGAGAGCCAGAAACGTCGATGAGAGAGAAACATCGACCAGTCGCCTCCTGTACACCCCCCACCAGGGATGTGCCCGCAACCAACGTACATGCCCTTGACCTGAATCAAACCCGGGACCTTTCAGTCTGCAGACCGACGCTCTACCACTGAGCCAAACCGGTTTCAGCCTAAAACTAATATAATATTGTATGTTAACTGTAATTGTTTTTTAAAAAAATGATTTTTTAAATGAAAAGAGGGAGAACTATATACTATATAGTACAAAGGGGGAATAAAAAAAGAAAATAGATCTTTAAATTAGGAATTGAGATTTCCAGGGTCCTGGGACTTGACTAGCTGTTACAGTGCCCTCTACAACATTTTAAAAGAATTTGGATTTGCCCTGGCCAGTTTGGTTCATTGAATAGAACATGGGCCTTCGGACTGAAGGGTCCCAGGTTTGATTCCGGTCAAAGGCATGTCCCTTGGCTGCAGGCTCCTCCCCAGCCTGGGCTTATGCAGGAGGCAACCAATCAATGTGCTTTTCACAAACCAATATTTCTGTC